AAAAAAAAAAAAAAAAAAAAAAAAGTAAACTCAAAATGGATCAGAGATCTGAATGTAAGTCATGAAACCATAAAACTCTTAGAAAAAAATATAGGCAAAAATCTCTTGAACATAGACATGACCAACTTCTTCATGAACATACCTCCCTGGGCAAGGGAAACAAAAGCAAAAATGAACAAGTAGGACTATATCAAACTAAAAAGCTTCTGTACAGCAAAGGATACCATCAGTAGAACAAAGAGACATCCTACAGTATGGGAGAATATATTCAAAATGACAGATCCGATAAAGGGTTGACTTCCAAAATATATAGAGCTCACGCATCTTAACAAACAAAAAGCAAATAATCCAATTAAAAATGGAAAGAGGAGCTGAACAGACACTTCTCCAAAGAAGAAATTCAGATGGCCAACAGACACATGAAAAGATGCTCTATATTGCTAATCATCAGGGAAATGCAAATTAAAACCACAATGAGATATCACCTCACACCAGTTAGGATGGCCAACATCAAAAAGACAAAAAACAATAAATGTTGGCGAGGATGTGCAGAAAGGGGGAACCCTCCTACACTGCTGGTGGGAATGTAAACTAGTTCAAACACTGTGGAAAGCAGTATGGAGGGTCCTCAAAAAACTCAAAATAGAAATACCATTTGACCCAGGAATTCCACTCTTAAGAATTTACCCTAAGAATGCAGCAGCCCAGTTTGAAAAAGACATATGCACTCCTATGTTTATTGCAGCACTATTTACAATAGCCATAAATGGAAGCAACCTAAGTGTCCATCAGGAGATAAATGGATAAAGAAGATGTGGTACATATACACAATGGAGCATTATTCAGCCATAAGAAAGAAACAAATCCTACCATTTGCAACAACATGGATGGAGCTAGAGGGTATTATGCTCAGTGAAATAAGCCAGGCAGAGAAAGACAAGTATCAAATGAATTCACTCATCTGTGGGGTGTAACAACAAAGAAAAAACTGAAGGAACAAAACAGCAGCAGACACACAGAACCCAAGAATGGACTAACAGTTACCAAAGGGAAAGGGACTGGGGAGGATGGGTGGGAAGGGAGGGATAAGGGGGAAAATGGGCATTACAATTAGCACACATAATGTAGGGGGGTGGGGACATGGGGAAGGCAGTATATACAGAGAAGACAAGTAATGATTCTATAGCATCTTACTATGCTGATGGACAGTGACTGTATTGGGGTATGTGGAGGGGACATAATAGGGGGAGTCTAGTAACCATAATGTTGTTCAAGCGATTGTACATTAATGATATCAAAATAAAAAAAAAAGAAATAGGACTGTTGAGGTTCAAATCCTGACTCTGTCACCTACTAGCTGTGTGATCAAAGGACATTATTTACCATACCATAGTTCTCTCACTTGCAAAATGGCATGATAAGAGTTCCTACATCACAGAGCTGTTGTCTAAAAATAAAATGAGTTCATATATGCAACTTACTTAAAATAGTGCCAGCACACAGTCAGCCACTAGTGACCATTTGTTGTTACTACCGCTATGGGGGCTATAGGTTAGGATCACAAACTTGTATCCATTAGAGCATTTCTCTCAATGTATTACAAATACATTTATGTCTTTCTCAGTACTAAAACTCAGAGTCCCTTTAAGGTAGCAGTACATGCTATACATCTATAATTTTAACATCTACCACAATGAACTATACTCATTAGACATTGAAAACATGTTTCTTTAGTAAAATAAGTTTTAAAACCATTATTATATCCTACAAACATAGCACTGCTTCAGGCACAAAAAGCTTCAAAGGAATTTATAGACCAAGGAAATTCTATATCCAAACATCAACAAAAATTAACTGAAAACATCAAATTAAACTGTACCCATAATTTAAGCTCAGAAGGTAACTTCTGCCATCCCTAAGCATCACTAAGAAAAAGCAAATGTCTTCAGCTGTAAGCAGATGAGGTTGACCAGCATCTGTGGCGACACAATGTTCCCTGAATATGGGCCTGCAGTGATAAGGACCTGTGCCTCTCCCATTAGCTAGCATCTCGGCTAAGTTAATCAGGAAACCAGAAGAAGCACAAAAATCAGCTAATAACCTAAACTACGAATCATACTCAGAAATGGGTAAAATTAGTAACTGGTACATAAACAGATGAGTGAACAAAACATATGTTTGCAGCAAGTGGTTTCCTTCCCATCTTACGTTAACAGAAAGTCCACAGCCTTACTCTAGTTTTCTACCAATCTACATGGTTATCTAATTATCTGCCAATCAAATGTTATAACTGACAAATTACCTGTTATACTAAACTTATAATCTAACATGAAGAACTGAAAGCAGTGGCTCACCCAGCTACAAGTTTTTATCAGACTCAATTCAAAAATGTAAAGGCATTCCAATTCCTGGAGAGCAGGCCAAATACACAGACCTTGCCCTGAAAATATGCATTTCACCACAGACTGGGGAATTTCTTGGGGATAGTCAAAGTATGATTAACCTCAAGGGTGCTTCTATAGGATTTTGTCAATGTTCTTCCCATAGGTAGAACTGCACTGAAAAATAGGCACTTCTCCCTTCTTGCTGAAAAGGCTAGAAAAAATAAAAAGTCCACCAAATACTAAGCCAAAACACCACCAAGGGCTCCACTTTCATGTAATAGTGTCCCCAGTTACTACACATGGGCATTCTGCCACAGAAACTGAGGGCACAGAAGAAACACTAGACACAAAGAATATTCAGGCAATCAGCAGTAATGGGAACCAATTTAAAATAAGGGAAGACCTGACAAAGACCTGGCAACCAAAAAAAGAACTGTCTATGGTAATCCAGGTCAGAGTTCAGAGAACAAGATGACGACAGACATTTAACGATTTCAAACAACTGCCCCCATTTTCTTTAAGACCAAACTGTAAGAAATCACCAGTTTAGCTGTAACTAATTTACACTTACAAGCATGAAATTTTGTCCTAACAACAAAATGTAACACTCAACCAGTTTTGTACAGTTTACAGAATCTTTTTCTCTATAGACCTTTAACAAACCCTTTCAAGGTAAGGCAGAGTGGTTTAAACTAAGACTCTCAGAGAACCAAGTTTTAAACAAATTCCTTCTAACATCATGGATTCACAATTAAAGCTATAATAAGAATACTTACAGGGCATATTCAGGTATAGGTAACTTGCTCACATCAAATACTTCTTTATCCTTCATCAGATATACTGAACGTATGTAAGAGACAAAACACTGTAAAAATAAGAGGTTTAAATGTATGACATATAAAATCAGAAACGGAAAATGAGTTTAACCAAGATAAAATAAAATTAACCAAAGGGATAAATTCAACAGTAGTGAAAAATCTCAAAAATAGATGAACATTTCTCTAGTCAATAAAAAAACCTACCATTTTTAGAATGTCTTATTAGAGAAGACTTTAAATTTGGTTTCATCAAACCAATTCAACATAGAATATAACACTCTCAATAAGTTATTTGAGAAGCTAGTATCATTCATTTGTAATTCGGTATAATGGGAAAAAACATAAGAATCATCTGAGCTCCATATCTTACTAGCTGAGTTGTCTTGTCTGTCAGTTTCCTCATCTACAAAATAGAGATAATAGCACCTTCAGCATAATATGTTATGAGAATTAAATGAAAAAATACAATTAGAATGCCTGGGCATATCTTCTGGAATATCAGCACTAGTAGTTAATAATAATTACACTAATAGTCAAAGGATGTTTTCCAACAAAATAAAAGTTTACTGTAATTAAATTAAGCTTAATAAAATTACAGCAAGAAAAAGTTTATCCTTAAGCTTTTCCTTTTCTATTGTAATTCAAGTAATTCATTGTTAGAATTTCCAGTCATTCATCAGCAACCTGTAATATTTTTCTTCTGTGTTTAAAGAAAAGAGAAAAAAAAAACTATCTTTACACCAGAGCTGTACAAACCAAAAAGTAAAAATGGTCCTGATTCTTTGTCAGTCTATAAAATAAGCAGGCAACAAAGATGAAAAACATCTAAGCAAGCATTTTTATTTTTTATTGTAAAATTAATTTTTGAAAAGTACACTTAAATCCCATTCCTAAATTTCCTAAACTTCACATTTACTCTAACTTTATATTAATCCTTTCTTCAAGCCATTTACACTAAACTTGAAGCCATTTCCCCTGTCTCCATAGGCATGAAAAACAATGAACAGCTCCAATTCAAGGGTAATTTTTTCCCCTACAATCATCCACAAGAATCACCCCAGTTGCTTATCATTTTTGTTCTATCCAGATTATAATCAAAAGCTAGAAACTCATTTCTATGAAACAAGATAGCTGGCACCACAGTTAGCCATTCTGCTAAACCAGGCATGACACTCAATAAATCACATCATTTATTTCAATGAACTATTCTACAATCCTTGTTCTGGAAGGCTCATTTGTTATATGCATAAAACAGTGAAACAACATCCTTCCAGTGTTTCATATATCCTAATTCATAATTGAATAACCTCCTAGGTTTGCAGTAAGTCACAACATATCAGAATTCATGTACAGTATTTTTAAATGTGTATACTATTTCCAAAGCTTCTAAAAGAAAAGATTTAACTCCTGGAGTCTTAAAGTATGTCTGTTAGACAAAACATACACAAAAATGTTGACATGCCCAAAACTTTTAACAACAACAAAAAAATTTCAGGTGACATGAACTTATAGAAGTCCAATTTTGTATAGTTCATTATTTGGTTTTCTTATATCTTAGAATTAATTTCTCCTCAAGTATCACAGAAGCTCTGAATAAAGTCAGTCCTGGATTTGAATCTCAGGTCTGCCACCTAATAGCTACATAACCCTGGACAATTTTTAATTTTTTCAAGTTACTATTTACTCACCTATAAAACTGAGCCAATATTACCTACCTCAAAAGTTGCTGGGAAGCTTAAATAACACAATGTATACCAGACTGCCATGTAATAGAGTCATTTCATGTCTAAGTGCCTAACACATGGTAAGCATTAAAATAACAATGATGAAAGTTAAAAAATTTGAAGTGTAGCAATGATAATTTGATAAAATATAAGTTAATTTTTTTTAATGTAAGGCCTACTCTAAATAAAACTGCTGAGAACATTGTTTCAAAAACCATAACATAAAACCCTGACTATTGACTATTTTTCTGCTGGGGCTCCTCTACCTACTTAGGATGCCCTTTCTATATCTCCTCTTTATTTCCTTCCTCCCACTTCATCTACCTACTGAAACAGAATCCAACCTCTGCAGCCCTACACTCTAACTCATTATTGATGCACATGGGAGATGCAGATGTAGATACTGTATGTAAATTTTAGAATTGTGACATAAGTAAAAGCGGTAAAAAGGAAGAGCTCTGTAACAAGGACTCAAAAATCTGTCAACTCAAAGACTGGATAACTATAAGCATAGTGCAAAATAATTTCACATATTCCTTTTCTAAAGAATTTACTACTGGCTTTTTTTTCTCCCTGCTGCTTGAAGGTTCACAGCCATCATGTGTGTCATGTTTTCAGAATGACACAGTGACTAACCGGACCAGAAGTTCATGACCCAATGACTACTGCAGCGGAAACAGATGGTCATTGACGTCCTTCACCCTGGGAAGGCAACCGTACCTAAGACAGAAATTTGGGAAAAACTAGCCAAAATGTACAAGAACACACCAGATGTCATCTTTGCATTCTGATTCAGAACCCATTTTGGTGGTGACAAGACAACTGGCTTTGGCATGATTTATGATTTTTTGGATTATGCAAAGAAAAATAAACCCAAAGATAGACTTGCAATACAGGGACTGTATGAGAAGAAAAAAACCTCAAGAAAACAATGAAAGGAACGTAAGAACAGAATGATGTCAGGGGGACTGCAAAGGCAAGTACTGGTGCTGGCAAAGAGAAATGAAGAGTCTAGAGGTGAGCTGGAGATTGGACAAAAGAAGGAGTAAAGATTCTGCAGTGACTTTATCTGTGGTAATTGTGCAAATTTTTCATGAGGATTAATAAACTAAAAAAAATTAAATTAAAACAAAAAGAATTGACTTCTGGGCTCTCTAAGATCTAAATAGTAAGTTTAACTAAAAGTAAAACTTCTTTCCTACGGGACCGGTGGGCGGGTGCCTGAGACCGGCACATGAGGACGAAGGAACTCGCCCGTTGTTCCACTTTTTTTTTCCTATTTTTCGCGAGTTCTTTTTGGAAGCCTTAAAGGGACAGGGACCCCGGTGCTAGGGAGGCAGGGCAGCGGGACCGCTGAGCGGGTGCGTGGGACCAGTGCCTGAGGACCAAGAATATTGAGCGTTCCTTCCCTGCGGGACCGGTGGGTGGGTGCTTTTTGGAAGCCTTGAAAGGACAGGGACCCTGGTGCTAGGGAGACAGGGCAGCAGGACCAGTGCGCGGGTGCCTGGGACCGGCACCTGGGGAAAAAAAAAAAAAAATCGCGTGTTTTTTCTTTTTTTTTTCCTTTCTGTTCCCTCTCTCATTGTTGCTGTTGTTGTTTTGGTTTGGAGAGTGCTTTTTGGAAATCTTAAAGGGGCAGGACAGGTCACTTAGACCAGAAGCAGGGAATCTGGGGATCTCTGGGCACTCTAACCCCCTGGGCAGCAGGGAGCACAGAGGCCCCTTACGGAGATAAATAGTCTCCTGGCTGCTCCCCCTCCAACGGGGCTCCACCATTTTGGAGGAACAGCCCCAGCCAGGCCAAGCCCACAGCAACAGCGGAGATAAACCCCAAAGCAACTGGGCAGGAAGCAGAAGCCCTGTCTGCGCACAGCTGCCCAGCACAAGCCACTAGAGGTCGCTATTCTCCCAGGAAAAGGCTACAAACCAACAAGAAGGGAAGCTCTTCCAGCGGTCACTTGTACCAGCTCTGCAAACTATCTCTATCACCATGAAAAGGCAAAACTACAGGCAGACAAAGATCACAGAGACAACACCTGAGAAGGAGACAGACCTAACTAGTCCTCCTGAAAAAGAATTCAAAATAAAAATCATGAACATGCTGACAGAGATGCAGAAAAAAATGCAAGAGCAATGGGATGAGATGCAGAGAAAAATGCAAGAGCAGTGGGATGAGATGCAGAGAAAAATGCAAGAGCAGTGGGATGAAGTCCGGAAGGAGATCACAGATGTCAGGAAAGAGATCACAGAAGTGAAACAATCCCTGGAAGGATTTATAAGCAGAATGGATAAGATGCAAGAGGCCATTGAAGGAATAGAAGCCAGAGAACAGGAACGTATAGAAGCTGACATAGAGAGAGATAAAAGGATCTCCAGGAATGAAACAACACTAAGAGAAATATGTGACCAATACAAAAGGAAAAACATTCGTATTATAGGGATACCAGAAGAGGAAGAAAGAGGAAAAGGGATAGAAAGTGTCTTTGAAGAAATAATTGCTGAAAACTTCCCCAAACTGGGGGAGGAAATAATCGAACAGACCATGGAATTATACAGAACCCCCAACAGAAAGGATCCAAGGAGGACAACACCAAGACACATAATAATTAAAATGGCAAGGATCAAGGACAAGGAAAGAGTTTTAAAGGCAGCTAGAGAGAAAAAGGTCACCTATAAAGGAAAACCAATCAGGCTAACATCAGACTTCTCAACAGAAACCCTACAGGCCAGAAGAGAATGGCATGATATACTTAATGCAATGAAACAGAAGGGCCTTGAACCAAGGATACTGTATCCAGCACGACTATCATTTAAATATGATGGTGGGATCAAACAATTCCCAGACAAGCAAAAGCTGAGGGAATTTGCTTCCCACAAACCACCTCTACAGGGCATCCTACAGGGACTGCTCTAGATGGGAGCACCCCTAAAAAGAGCACAGAACAAAACACACAACATATGAAGAATGGAGGAGGAGGAATAAGAAGGGAGAGAAGAAAAGACTCTCCAGACAGTGTATATAACAGCTCAATAAGCGAGCTAAGTTAGGCAGTAAGATACTAAAGAAGCTAACCTTGAACCTTTGGTAACCACGAATCTAAAGCCTGCAATGGCAATAAGTACATATCTTTCAATAGTCACCCTAAATGTAAATGGACTTAATGCACCAATCAAAAGACATAGAGTAATAGAATGGATAAAAAAGCAAGACCCATCTATATGCTGCTTACAAGAAACTCACCTTAAACCCAAAGATAAGCATAGACTAAAAGTCAAGGGATGGAAAAACATATTTCAGGCAAACAACAGTGAGAAGAAAGCAG